GAGGTTGGGCAGGGAAAGGAAAATCCAGTACAGTGCTCAGATACTGGATTTATTTTTGCCAGTTAGCAAACAAAACAAAAACAAGGTAAACTTATCCCATCTATTTCATGTCTAAATTCAGCACATATGTCATGAAGTCCCATGAGCCAAAAATACGAACCCCACCATGCCATTATTATAGAACAAGCTTCCAGCATGCTACCATGTTACATAAGAAAGAGGCACTGTGTAGCACAAGCTCCTCCCTACATTTCTGTGATTAGCATCTCAATTCTCATTTGCCATACCTGCACCACTCCTACTGACCCATTCCTCTGTTATTCCCAGGAAATCCATGCCATTGATGAACTGAATGTTGGCTTTATCCAACAGGCGATTCTCCATTCTTGGCTAAGGAAAGTTCACTTTCACAAGTGACTTGAAAAGCACTTGAATCTATGTTTCCAGAGGCAAATGAAAGGCAAATGTGCTAATCTAGCAGCCATATATTAGACAAGTGAACTGCAATTGTTTGAGTTTCCATCCATAGACACTGGCCTTGCTACAAAGGCCCACTGATATCAAAGAGTTAAGTGTGGTAAATAAACTGCATTGGCTAGATTCCCATGAACATTATTTTCATTTTCATGTTGCTTTTATCAAGGCATCCTAAATACAAATGAGATGCATACATTTTGCAAGACATTATTAAGCATCTTGCGAAGCTTGAGGGGCATGAACACAGATGAAAGCAGTTAGCAGCTGGTGCTGTGTTAGTCATTGGCACCTACCTGTTGACACCTTCCCTGGAGAAGTAGACAGTGTATGTCTGAACAGTCCCTTTAGTTTCTGCAGGTGGACGCCAGCTGAGACGGACAAATCGGCTGGAGACCAAAACAGGGACCACATCTCGGGGAGCAGAGGGGAGGACACTGGAACTTGGGATAGCTGAAGGGGAAGGAGAGGAGTCAGTCAGAGAGGTTGGTGGTAAAAGGGTATCAGGGCTGACTGGAAGTATTGTAGTAGGCACAACTAAGGTATTAGAGAACAAAAGGCCAAGATGAAATGGAATAGGTGTGAATAAAAGGAAGGGGGAAAAAAAGAGAAATAAAGAAAACTAACAGTAAAACCACACTTTAAATACAATATCCTTAACATGCAATAATCTATTAAGTTCAACAGCAACACACATTGGTTTCAGAAACACATAGCTGAGAGGCTACTGCCCTATTAATATTCTGGGCTTCTCTCATACATATGATCACAGAAAATGGCATGAGCCATATTACATACTCACACATTAGTAAACTCTTCTTTTCTATGCCCAAGACAACATGGGTATTTACTTACTTATAAACAAATCATTTTTGACTATACAAGAACCTATGTGCTACAGTTGCCACCCTGATTGGGCTGGGAAAGGGAGAAACTAAGGAGAATGATCAAAAATGGAAAGAAAACACAAACTCAGACCTGAATTAATATTAATATTGATGCATATGAACACCTGTTGGTTGTATGTATATGCATGTTTGCATGCACACTTTAAAAAAAAATCATTAAGTTGACCAGAGACAAAAATGGTGATGTCAAGCTGTAGATTTTATAAAAGTAGCTTTTTATCAAACGTTTGTGTGTGTATAAGTGTCCACTCGTGTTTGAGAAGGTGGCCAACTACAATTAGTAAACACAAGTTGGCCCTGTACTTACAGTATCAACTATATTCTTTAGCTTGAATATTTGCACTCCAGATGGAGCATTCATGATCACCTTTCCTCTTTTGCAGTCCAATATGAAGACCTAATCTCACAGACCACTCGTTGTTACCATGGTCACAGCTTCCTTATCTGTTGTCATGGAGAAACACAGACATTTGTAGAGGCTTTTTCTAATATTCAGCATACTATTTTAATACAGTTTCTAGGCTTATTTTTAGCTTGGTTGGCTAACAAGGCTGGGGTCTATAGAGATTGATTTTCTTTAATTATTATTTTGGGAAAGGGGCTGGGGGAGATGGCAAGGTTGGACTTTTGGTGAGAAATCTCCTTCTATTGGCTGTGTATCTATTTCTGGGGATTTACTGCTGGTTTTCTTTTTGTTGTGTTATTTTAAAGAATACCAAATGCACCCAGAACAATGGATAGGCCCTTTATGTATGTTTTCATAAATGACATTAAATAATTAGTCAATTTGCTTACCACACTGTACTACAGAACAAGAAGACCACAGGCCTGATGTAAACTGCCAAACTATAGTGCAAATCATGCAAAAACAGAATACTGGCTACTGATATTGCACTTAAAAAGACCTGGCAACTGCGCAGCAGTATTAGTCCCAAAGCAACAAAACCTAGGGCTGTCAGCTAACCTTGATTTGTTTGGTGTATACCATGAATATGGTTATAGGCATTAATTTGCTCTGAGCTCACAATGTATGGCCTGTGTTATCACCAAGGCATATGAAAGACGGTTCAACATGTTGATATAAATGCAAAATTATGTAATTTACATCACATCGTAAATCGGAAATTATTTCCTTGTCCTCTCTAAATTGCTGAACCTTTCCAAAAAGGTCCATAATACAGCCATGTCACTGGCCATACACTGATTAGCACAAATATTCCTTTTAATTAGCTCTGCTATTCAGTAGGATGATGCCCAGTAAAAAGTAACAAATGCTTGAGGAAAAATTATGGTCAATGAGAGAATTGAGAAAGACAGAATTGTTCTAGAGCAGTGGTGTAATAGAAAAGGCCATTTGTACATGCCACAAAATTGGCCTTTAAAGCAGCCCTTTTGCACCACTTCAGTGGTGCAGTTGTTTGCACGTGTTGGCGGTATAATGCGCTTTTATGGTGCGGCTGTTTGAACGTGTCAGCAGCGTAATGCCTGTTAAATGACTCTGGGGTGCATTAAATGACTTTGGAACACAGCAAAATAAGACATCTCTGAGGTGGTTTAGTTTGCCGCAGTGGGAAGCACCGGGCCCCGTGTAACTCAGGGGCTGTGCAGGCACCCTGTGCAGCCACGCTCTACTGAAGGGGGAAAAAAACAATAAAAAGCGGCAAGCCTGATTTTTTTTTTCTTTCCAGAGCCTGACTGCCTGAGCTGTGCAGGGGTCTGGTACTTCCCCCTGCAGCTGCAGTCCCCTCCAGGACTGTTTGGGCCGGGTGCCACCGTTGCTGCGAAGGGAAGCACCAGGCCCCCCACCTCCCCAGCTCAGGGACTGCTCGGCCCACCGGCAGTTCACCCTCTCCTCCTCGCCACCAGAGACGCAGGTAAGAATTGGGCCTGACCCTTGTGTACACACCATGGGGTGTTATTTTGCCCTGTATTGAAGCTGTGTTTGTGAGGACCCACTGCTTAAATTTAGGGAGAATTAAACCAAAGTAAATCCCTGTGACATGTACAAATGCCCAAAGACATTAGATCATAGTCTTGACAATTCCAGCTCTATATCTAGGGCTTAGTATTTTTACTAGTACTAGTTTGAGTACTATTAGTATTGCCTAGGGTCCTTAGGTATGGACCAGAAGCCACTGAGCTAAGTGCTGTCCAAACACAAGCCAAGAAGCCAATTCCTTGTTTGCTTACATTGCTGTAACTCTATTCCATGTAATGGAAATGCGTGACTAAGTAAAGAACATGTTTGGGTTTCTGCTCTAGCCTTTACATCAGCTACTGATTTTAAGTCCATAAGCCATATCTTCTAATGAATCCTGGATGGCATGGGAGTATTATTAAAGCACCAAGAATCTTCCTAACTCTTTATTTCAGTGTTAAGAAATGAGTTTATTAAGTAGATAAAAAGTTGCTAAGATCAACCCAAAGTTTGTACCACCTTAGTGATAGCGGTAAAAAGGAAAATAGCAGGATTGGGAGCCACCTGATCCAGCCTAGTGAATATCAATTTTCCTCTGCTTTTCAGAAAACACTATAGTGCTTCAAATATGACATTTTGTGTGAATGCCAAAAAAATCTTTATAGTCGCTACAAGCTATGAATAGCAAACAAACAGTTATACTTGCAATACAATAAAAAAGACAAACAAACTCAAATTGTTTCAATATGTAATATACTAAATCATTGAACGTTTCCTATGATACTGGAGCATTTTGACACTGGTTAGACAGTGGGAGTTTGACAAGGGATGATCTTTTTCAGTGGTTTCTATTAACCCTTGATAGAATGGAGCTTTCTCTACTATCTTGGAACGTATAGTAATCATTTACCCTGAATAAGTCAGTAGATGTTATCATTCTGATTAAGGCCATGAAAAGGCATTGCATTTTTTGCTGGGGAAAATGCCTTTTTACTGGCACAATATGCTAATATGTAGGAGTCAGGACTTTTTGTGTGGAAGAAAACCAGCTCTTCCATAAAAGAAAACAAAAAGTGTTTTCAAGTGTTGAAAAAGCAACTTCTCCAGAGAGAGAAGTTTTCTAGTACCACCTGTATTCTTCTCTTCTGGTTTCTAGAACCCCATCTATTCCTCCGTCCTCCACTCTCCCTCCCCTGCAGGTTCATCCATAGGGGGAGGACAGGGGCAAGGGCAGGGAAAAGTTGCTCGCTCCTCACTTCAGCCTCAGGCAGTCAAGGACTACTTCTCTCCTGTAGTTATCTCTCAGGCTGATCCCCACATGGCATCAGCTGGAGAAGGCCTGTCTGCCATGGGAGCAGTGCTTGGCTTTGAGGTGGATTTGTTGTACTCCAGTTGGTGGGGGAGGGTGGGGCAAGAAGGGGCAGAGGTGCCTTCATGCTCCTAGATGTTTTTGCCATATTTTACAGCACTGACAATTTCCTGGACATTTTTTGAAATGTGGGTATCAGTAGTGAGCTCTGGGACCCTTTGAAAATGTTGTCTATTTGGGCAAAATTTTCTCTGATCCACTGTGTAGATCTGTGACTAGCCTAGAAATCTCTACTGTATTTTCTGCTCTACTGCCAAACCCAATATTCATCAGTTCTTTCTGAAAAACAAGTTTCGACTCTTATGAATAAACAGAGTAGCTCAAAGAAGAAGCCTTGTTACCCAAATGCCTTTTATAACTGCTGTTCTAGTCCCTCTGGATAGAGGGTAGTCTAAGCTAGATATGGGAATGCTCCTTTCTTGCAAAATCAGGAGGCAAAAAAAGAAAATATTACCATGGCTGGCTTTATTACACTACTCAACTGAATTGATCTGCCACAGCATAAGCACCACATTTTTAACAGTTTTTAAACATACACCCACATACAGCAGACACATACTGGGGGTGAGGAACATTGATTTGATTATACAGTAGCATATGTCCACCTTTTAAGTAGTGTTATTAAAGACTGGAAAGAGCTGACATGTTGTATACAGGCAGAGATGATAAATGAACACAGAGAGGATGTATTTCTCTCCCCAGGGGGACACACTATTAAAAGGAGATATAAAAGCATACTATTGCTGTGGGATAGTAGAGTTAGGTAGCCCCAGTTAATTCACTAGCCTTGCATTGTGAGAGACCTGGGTGCAAATCCTATTAAACTGATAAGTGAAATAAGTCTGAGGATGGGGGCTGAGGTCGTGGGGGAGCTAAGGTGCATGGTTGATAGCCTAAGTCACAAGTTTGAGGCGACAGCAGAAGCACCAAGGGGGTGCTCATAATTAGAAAGTTCCTCCTAATCTCCAACAGAAACTTTTTCTGTTGAAGCTTGACACCACTGCTCCTAGTCCTGTCTTCTATGACCACAGAAAAAAAGTCCATCTCCATCCTTTCTACAATCACCCTTCACGTATTTGAAGACTGTTATCAAATCTCCCCTCAGTCCAGGTTTCTACAGGCTAAATAAACCTAGTTCATTAAGTCTTTCCTTGTAAGTCTTGCTTCCCAGGTCTCTAAGGAACCTTTCTGTTACTCTGCCCTATGCTCTTTTCAAATGGTCCACATCCTTCCTGAATTGTAGGGCCCAAAACTGGAC